ATCCGAATCTTTAATCCAATCGAAAACGAATAAAGATTTCAAGGATTACCCACTCTCGCCCTCATTAAATCTTCATTCGTTACCGACTGGATTAAAGATTCGGATGAGGGTGGGGGTGAGGAACAGGTTATGAGATTTACGTGAGTTTCTATAGGTAACTCAGCGTCCTGAATACTATGGAGAGGATCAGCGGGTTCAAAAACTCGTCCATTTGGGTGTTGGTGGCTGTTGGTAGTAGTATTTCGTTCAGGGTACCTGAGATGTATGGTTATCTGACGCGCTCTATCGATCTAGAATGGTCGCAGGCAGTTTGCGAATGTTGGTGGGTGATGGCGTCTTTTACAAATACCCCTTTTGGATCATATCGAAGAGAACAGTATTATTTTCAATTGAGCTCATCCGTTTGTTTGACTTTGATTACTTTTGACGCTTCTCAACGATGTTAACTTCATCACACTTACGAACCAATGATAGCAAAGGACAACGTAGAATAAGTCTAGAATCTCCCCAAGTTAAAATGTATTTATTCCGGTATAGATCAATAGAGAATTTAATGTTGTGAAGATTTCCATATTTTTGAATCTTCCAAAATCATTTTGTGATAAAGAAAATTATACTGTTGTTATTATACAGTTTTTGTACAATCTTTTTAAAAACGACAAATCAAATCACTTCAGTTTAACCTCAATATTGTTTCTCAAACGAAATAAACAGTATTTCTGGGATTAGCTCAGAGAATTAGCTTATTATCACCTGAGGGCTGGTCAGCCAGCTTGTTTATAAAACTTTTCACTCTATAAGCTGGCGCTTAATGCTGCACAGACACCTCAAACATTTCAGTGCTCTCTGAATTTGGTCTGTGATTCGAGGATAGGTCATGGTGCATGGAACAAACGAAACAATGTGTTAAGATTGAGATGGTAGAGCTTTGTACTTCCTAAACTGCCATAGCGATCTTATACTATTCGTAAAGATAGTTAGCTTTGTAAAATACTAGCAACTGTTAGCTTGTTTTTAGTATGATATATTTCTTTTTAGAAACTTTGATCTAGTGAAACTAATGGCTACAATTACCACGTTTCATGATAAAATTTGTCGTTCTCCAAAAACTGAACTTCATGTCCACATCGAAGGGGCACTTACACCTGAGTTGATGTTTCATTTGGCAAAACGTAATAACGTTAAACTCCCTTATAATTCTGCTGATGAATTACGTGCCGCTTATTCATTTACTAATTTACAATCGTTTCTTGATATTTGTGGAGTTGGTGTTAGTGTATTAATCACATCTCGAGATTTTTATGACGTAACAATGGATTACATACAACATGCAGTCAGTGATAACATTGTTCATTCAGAACTATTTTTCGACCCACAACTGCATACCCATCGTGGTATAGAATTAACAACCATCATTGACGGAATTGAACGTGCGCTTATTGAAGCTGAACAAAAATATAATTTTTCAAGTAAGTTAATCATGTGTTTTTTACGTCATTTGGATGAACAAGATGCATTAGACACTTTCAGTCGTGCTCTACCATTATTTGAACAATATAAACATCGATTAATTGGTATTGGTTTGGATTCAACCGAACAAAATCATCCACCTGAAGAATTTCAACGTTTATTTGCGAGAGCACGTGAACACCACTTACGAGTTGTCGCACATGCCGGAGAAGAAGGACCACCGTTGTATGTTAAACAAGCACTCGACATACTCAAAGTGGAACGTATTGATCATGGAGTACGGAGTGTAGAAGATGAATTGCTCATGAAGCGTTTAGTCGATGTAAAAATTCCGTTAACAATTTGTCCATTATCCAATATTAAACTTAAAGTCTTTGATGATATGAAAAAACATTCATTAAAACAATTACTCGATTCAAGTGTAATGCTAACAATTAATTCCGATGATCCGGCTTACTTTGGTGGTTATCTGAACGCAAATTACCTTGCCGTTACAGATGCGTTTCATCTGAATCAGAATGATATTTACAAAATTATACGTAACGGTTTCGAAGCATCATTTATCGAAGAAGAAAAACGACAATTACTGATTAAACAACTTGATGCTTATTGGAAAGAGTCTCCTTAATGGAGAAGAAAAGGTGATAGGACACTAGAATTCTAAGATTCTACCGATTCAAGTGTAGGAATTGAACAGTTCAAATGTTTTTTCTTGTTCTGAAAAATACATTGTAATACACTATCAATAAGTTTGTTTTTCGGTGGGAAAAATGTCGTCACATTTTCAGTTTCTCATTTTTTGTTTTTTACTTTTTTGATGGATTATCGTCTTAGAAGTTAATCTTTAAGAAAGTTCGAGGTGTTGGATTATGTTGTATTTTGAAGCTGTTATTGTTATTATTCTTTTTGAGAATAATAACAGCTGTAAGACCATTATTTGGGGAAATATTATGATTTTCAAATAAAACTTTTCAACATGACCGTAAGACATGCAACACTGCAGTTAATCGTTTCTATAACGATTTTCTGCTTTCTCTGTGGAATAAATGTTGGTAAACAAAGCGGCATCAAGAAGAAAGAAATGAATGATAGAATCACCAGATTGATGCAGCAAATGACTCTAGAGGAAAAAATTGGTCGACTCAATTTGGTCTCATTAGGATTTGATGTAACAGGACCGATTGTTAGTCAAAATGCGAAAATATTCGTAACGGACCAGTTGGTGGTGTTTTCAATACCTATACTCCCATTGCCGTTCGTAAACTACAAGAATTAGCAGTTACCTCTACTCGTTTACATATTCCACTTATATTTGGATACGATGTTATTCATGGTCATCGAACCATTTTTCCGATCGCATTAGGCCTGAGTAGCACATGGGATATGAAGCTCATTGAACAGAGTGCAAGGATTGCTGCTCGAGAAGCAAGTGCTGACGGATTACAATGGACATTTTCGCCCATGGTTGACATTGCTCGAGATCCACGCTGGGGGCGAATATCAGAAGGATCTGGTGAAGATCCATGGCTGGGATCACAAATAGCTAAAGCAATGGTACGTGGTTATCAAGGTGATGATTTAATGAAAAAAGACACAGTAATGGCATGTGTGAAACATTTTGCTTTATATGTTGGGGCCGAAGGTGGCAGAGACTACAATACTGCCGATATGAGTCGTATTAGAATGTATCAGGATTATTTACCACCATATCAAGCAGCCGTTGATGCAGATGTTGGAAGTGTGATGACTTCATTCAACGAAGTCGATGGAATACCTGCATCAGCAAACAAATGGCTTCTTGATGATTTATTACGTCATCAATGGAATTTCACCGGTTTTATTGTGACAGATTACACGGCTATCAATGAAATGATTGATCATGGCATTGGAAATTTAAAACAAGTATCCGCTCGTGCTCTAAAAGCTGGTGTTGACATGGATATGGTAGTTGGAGGTTTTCTTCGTACATTGAGTGAATCTCTCGATGAGAATGACATCACCCAACAACACATTGATCGGGCTTGTTGGCGAGTATTAGAAGCTAAATATAAATTAGGTTTATTCGATGATCCCTACCTATATTATAATGAAATAGAAGTGCCACAGAAATACTAACTATTGAAAATCGTCTGGCTGCTAAAGAAATCAGCAAGCGCTCATTTGTCTTGTTAAAAAATGCAAATGGAACACTACCATTAAACAGACGAGGTATAACAGTTGCTCTCATTGGACCCTTGGCTGATGATCAGCGAAATATGCTGGGAAGTTGGTCGGCAGCAGGTGATTGGAAGCAATCAGTCAGTGTTGCTACTGGAATAAAAAATCTAGTTGGCGACGAAGTCAAAGTCGTCTACTCAAAAGGAGCGAATATAATCGATGATCCTGATATTCTCAAGCAATTAAATGCGAGTGGCGGTGATATCATCTTAGATGATCAATCACCAGAAATACTCATAGAACAAGCCGTGTGCGAAACACAAAACGCCGATATAATTGTGGCTGTACTGGGCGAGTCTCAAGGAATGTCAGGAGAGGCTGCCAGTCGATCGGATATCGATTTACCAGAAAATCAAAAAAAATTGTTACGAGTCCTGGTTGACACGGGAAAATCAGTGGTGTTAGTATTGATAAATGGGCGCCCATTGATTTTGACCTGGGAAAACGATCATGCAGCTGCTATATTAGAAACGTGGTTTCCAGGCACAGAAGCAGGAAATGCCATAGCTGAAGTGTTGTTCGGTGAATATAATCCATCTGGTAAACTCACAGTAACATTTCCACGAAACGTCGGACAGATACCAGTTTATTACAACCATAAAAATACTGGTAGACCCTATGACGGTCACAGTATGGAGAAATATAAATCCCGATATTTGGATGTTTCAAATGATCCGTTGTATCCGTTCGGATTTGGTTTAAGTTACACGACGTTTGAATATAGTCCTCTAAAACTCGAGAAAACAAATTTGACAGGCGATCAGTTATTAACTGTTCGTGTTTTAATACGCAATAGTGGCACATATGCTGGGGAAGAAGTTGTTCAGTTATATATCCATGATCCTGTAGCGAGCGTTACACGGGCAGTGAAGGAATTAAAAAACTTTGAGAAAATTTTCTTACAGTCGACAGAGCATAAAGAAGTGGCATTTGATATTACTGTGAATGACTTGAAATTTTATAACAGTGATTTGCAGTATGATAGCGGAATAGACATAGGTCCAGCTGTGGGAACAGTAACTGTGGAGAAATATTTGCTAAATAAGTCTGCCTTTTCCTGATCTGTTGAAGCTGTATCTATTCCGCTCCAATTACCAGCAGACAGCATACTTTTCGCTGATGACTGTACACTCTACTGTCCAATGGCCTCGTCTGATACGCCAGCTGTATGTCAAGAGAATATTGAGAAAATATGTAACTGGTGTACCTCAAA